AGCGACTGAAGTTTTTATGTCCAAACCAGCGAAATATGTGAGTACCATGGATGAAATGCCCAGAGAGGAACAAAACATATTAGGAGAAACTCAGCCTGCTGTCCATCATCGAAGAGAAAAAACTCCAAGCAAAGCAGTTTCACAAATTACGAAGAAACTGACCTTTTCCAAAAAAACGACCAGACCAAGCTCACTCCGGAGATTATGTAGCCTAAAGGTTAACAACATGACCTCTGAAGCCCAACTGGCCTTGGTTTGAATCCAGGCTCTCCTCTTTACTCTCCATGTGACTGACCCGTGGCTCAGTTTCTCTGCCCATATCCTACAAAAGGGGGATGATGGTACTGTACTCAAGGGACTCTCGAGCCCACATTTTAACATCTCTGAAATCTTTAGTTGTGAAATAGCTTTTGGCCAGGCCACAGTCACGAGGTAGTTCTCACTGCTTGTACATACGTGGACTTGGTGGCTGTTTCTGGTGGCACGAGTGGATAACTGCAGCCTTTCAGTATTTGGGTCCACAAATCACTGTCCTGATTGCTGGGAAGCTCTCAGAATGCCTTACCCAGTAATTTCACTTAGGTTTTTCTTTTTATATGAGCACAGAGTGATACAAAAACTTGTCTCAGTACCCTATTACATCAGTTCTACACTATTATTTCATATTTTACCATCTCAAGTCAGGATGTGTCACACAATTAAGCTGTTTTTCGTTCCTGGAGGTATACAAAATAGTCTTACAAATCGATGGAGTGTTAGATTTGTTGAAATAAAATGACTAAAAGAGCTCTCTAAGTAGAAACAGTCTAAATTGAGTTTTTAAAAAGCATTATATCATTAATGTAACTGGCAGCCATCTTTTCTTTCTTAGTGTTACATAAAATACACATCGTGTCATTAACGACATTTTAGGTTCAAAAAAACACAGCAGTACCTACCTCACAGGATTGTGAGGATTCAGTGACTGATAGTTATGTTTACAATGGTGCCTAGATCATGCTAAGTTCTAGGTTTTTAGCTATTAATATTATCCTATCAGTCAGGGATTTTGCCACAGATTGAAAGAGATCAATCTATAAAAATTAAAACTTTTTATAAAATCTTTTGATCTAGAGAGGTTTCCTACTCCTCCCACCTCATCTCAACACCCAATCTTCACTGAGGGCTTACGTCATGCCAGTAACTGTGCTTCCGTTCTCATGCAAGTATCAACCATAGATTTGGCCCTTTAAGACGAGAAGAATTTCACCAATAATTATATAGACAGGAAGAAAGATAATGCCAGGTACAGAGAGGAATCAAGAGAAGGAAAATATTCAAGCTCCATTATTTACCATTTAGCAATTTGGCCTAAGAATAAGCTTTAAGCTCTATGCTTGGATTTTTCATCTGTAAAATGGATTTAAGGTAAATCCTGTCAGTGATGCTGCCAACATGACCATTTCCATTCCCCACCTAACCCCTGTTCACAAGTGGCAAGTGGGCTCAAATTCTTAACTCTTGGTGGAGTTGAGGAATACGAGAGGGGAGGTGAAGCTGGGGAAAGAAACGGCAGGCTGTCTCAGGAAGTGGGGAAGCAGGGGGTGGGTTAATTTCAGATAAGGATGATAAAACAGGCATCACCTACCCAGGAGATTGCTGGACTCACTCTGTTATCCTAGAAGTACAAGTCAGATATAGGACTGACTCAGATTTGTCCCATCGACATTTCAGCCTGAGTGACATCTGCCACCATGTGGTGCCAAACTACAGAATGGACTTGGGACTCTACGGTTAGATGCTCGGAATTCCTGGACAGTTAGTTGTACCAACACAGCCTGTCCTATCTTTCAGCCTGCAACAATGCAAACCCATTTCACGTTACTGCATTTTTTTTGTTTTGTACCCCACTTACTGCAGGGCTTTACTCTCACATCTACTTCACTAAACTGTTGTGAGAAATCTTAAATGTTGATCCAAGTACATAAAGTGCTTGGAATAATGCTTGGTATTTTGTAAGCTATTAATACATGTTAGCTATTATTCTTATTATTAGTATGATGTTAAACACATTTAATAACCGGGATAGCATTAGCATCAGACAATCAGGAGACACATCCAGGGTGAACATTAACTATTACTTCTATATGCGGGGATCACAACTATTACTGCTTAAGCCAGGTCTCAGAGAGTGGGTAGAATACGTTCATGGAGAGACAATGCATCAGAAGAAAGGCACAGAAGGGCAAAAAAACCTGGAATGTCCATAAAAGCTTTATGTTGTTTCGTGACTGAGGCAAAGGGTTGGAAAAAGAAAGGGGAGGAAGGGGGGAGGGAGGAAGGGAAGGGAGACAGAGAGAGAGACACCGAGGGAGGAGGCTGTAAAACTAGGAGGTTGGGGCCAAGTCATAAAGGGTAAGGGTCTTGGTACTTTATTCAGCAAGAAAGAAAACTGGCAATAGATTTGTAGAGTAGCTCATCAAAGGCTAAAGGATGCATTCAGTTATGAAGTTCAAAATGAGCACAGTCACCACACTCCAATATGGGAAATGTTTACATTATAGGTCTTTTTAAAGAACATGCGCACACATACTTTAGATAGCTTTCACCGACCAAAGTTGAAAGAAAACACTTTGTAGTGAAGTGAGATCCCCCCAAATTTATTTAAGGGCCCATTTTTATTTAAGTAGTGTTGAGTTTTTAAAGTATTTTCCTCCAGTACAACTCTAATTTCAATATCAAAATTTCTCAAATGTTGATGAAACTGGAAGTTTCCAAATCTGTGATGGCAACGGACTGGCGCTGTGTGCATGTGATGAAACCAACAGCAACAAAATGTCAAACACAAATGGAAAGTATTTTTTTTAAAGTCTATAATGGCAACTCAAAGCAGCAACAGCATCCAGCAGGAATTAAAATCTCTAGTTAAAGCCAATGAGGGTTTACAGGTTAGTTTTGAATTTTACTCCTTATGTTATTTCAAATCAGAAGACTCTTGCTACTCAGACTCAAAGAGGGTACAACGAACATCTGTTAGTTCTGTATTCTCAGTAACCATCTTGCCTCTCCTGTTCCCTACCCTCTTCCTTTTTCTGATAATTTCTCCTTCCTCTGGGGTAGCTCCTCTCTGGATCAGCTCAGGGATGGAATATGATTGAATGTAGGCAAAATCAAAGTTCTTTCCCAAATTTTGTATAACGTGCTGCCATGCTTTGTTTATGACATAAGCTGACACCGTCAATGGCTGCCATCTACAATTCTCACCTCACTGCCTCCCTCCCCAAAGAGAAAACCAACCCAGGAAGACACAAATCAGAGCTAAGTATGAGAGTGGAAAGATGGCTTCCTAGGGTGTTTGGACCAAGTCATGCCTGGGCTTCCCTGTATATGAGCCAATAAGTTGCCATTCATGCTTATGCTAGCCTGAGTTGAGTTTCTGTGACTTGCAACTGAAGAACAAGTGGTTAATACAGTATCTACTTGAAAATAAATTTTAACACAGTAGTGTATGATTAAATAAAAGCAGACGAGGTATCTTTACTTAAAACTTAATGACTAATATGAAATCAGGTATAACACAACTGTATATGTCAACCAAATTAAACCAAATATATAAGAAAATTGTTGGCATTAGTTAGGTGTTTAACATTTCACTATATACTGTGAAACCTGAACCACACTACTTGCTACAGGGAAACAAATTGGCTCAACTACACTTTGGAATCTTAAATATCTATTATACTAACTCTCTTTAACTCCTATTTATAATATGAACAGGTGCAAACTTTGTTTACTGTAATTTATGGCTATCAATCCCATATATAATAATTAGCAATTATGAAAGGCCTACCTTGCCTTTGAAATCATTGTTTAAAAAATAAAGAAGGCCAGGTGAAGCTTTCCTCCTTTTAAAATGTCATTCATGAACAAAATGCAGGATGTTGAACTTAACATGGGTCAGGGAGTTTGTTTATTCATCCGAATTAATCAAGAATCCAAATGGAGAGGGTCTCAAAAAAAAAAAAAAAAAGAAAAAGAAATTAAGTCTTACTACCACGGACTTCTAGGGCTCTTGATGAATTATTCCCACTTCACCCCCTCCAAGTAGTCGTCACAGTTATTCACTCAAACATGTTTATTGTAAATCCTGTGGGAATAAATATGTATATTAATCAAATGAGCTAATAGTTATATTTAAGGGAACTATGCTAAATTCTTTCCTAAGGAACAGTCTATAATTGAAAAATTTAATAGAATCCTAGACTATATAGGGATGGCAAAGATACATTGCATCATGCAGATGTTTTCCCCCTTCTGGGGCAAAGTATAGGGCAGGGGGGAAAGTATAGGATAAATCCTTTGGTTGTCCAGTTTTCAATTTAAATTCTAGAAGACATGGAACTCAATACTTTTCTTGGAAATGAGACTGTGTCATAACAGATTTCATTATCAGGAAACTGCTCTCCATCCTGATATTCAGATCCTGTGCTCCTGGTGTGTACTTTATCCCACTTTTCCCACTAACAATTCTGTGACACATTTGATTCAATTCATCCTATTTCTCGCCTGTTTCAAGAAAACAAATTTCACTTTTAGATTAAATATGAATCCTTTGAAATCCCATTTAGTTGTCTCCCCAGAAATACTGTGAAAAACCTAATGCTACACAAACCTTTCACGTATGAGGAAGATTCCTGAAGCTGCTTTAGGAAGTGTAGTGATTTCTCAAATTGCAACACCTTATCTTCTATGAATTACAGTTCCACTATTACTGATATACTAAGGGTCTTTGTGGCATTATTGTCTTTGGATTCGCTTCTCCAGTTTTGACCTCCAAGTTACACATAGTTGTGTTCTACAAGTTTCTCCTATGCTCATCTTCTCATTTCTATTTTTCCCAAGCCTCTTTAATTAATGCCTCTGGCTTCTTTTTGGTCTAAAACTTATTCCAATTATAAACTAAAAATGAATTCACCAATGTCCCATTTTATCATTGTTTTCTTAACCATTAAGTACACAGATGCAACACAGATGTAATAATCTTTTACTCTTTTATAGCCATATTGCAATTTCATAACTGTGTAAATTCCAATAAAACTAGGAAACTTTAATTTCAATATGTGAGATCATAATGTATACAGAACTGCCATAAGGTATAAATTAAGCCATGTATGTACATAAATGCACATATACATTCCAGTAACACTTTGAAGAGTTCCAAGTGTTTCTTTCTTTAGTTATTGCTGGATGTTTCTGCTCATCACAACACCCCTGTATGGTAATGAGAGTGGAATGGGAACGGGATGAAAGGCACAGAATTCACAATAAGACACAGCTCACTGTGCAAACAAGGAGAGCCAAATTTGTGAGCACTGATGGTTCAAACAATGAGGCCATTGATTTTGTGAACTGAATATAAGAAGTAATAGTTAATAGTACTTATTTATCCTTTACATGTGACACTGAACTAGATGCTACCCAAGTAAAAAAGAACCACTCAGTCATCTCAAGAGGGTGAGTTACAAACAAACCCCAAAGACAAGAATGGGCAACGATGGGTCAGTCCTCCTGTGGCTAAATGGTGTGTCACACAGCCTTTATGTTTAGTGAGGTTCTACCAACAAAACTGCCAACTTTGTGGCTGACACAGGTGATTCTTGGGTTTGGTCTTGCATCAAACTAAACAAAAAAAGTTTTCAGCCTTGGAATTAAGCATATTAAAACCCTGGGCCTAACTGAAATAAGCACTATGCTGGTCAGGTGCAAAAAAGGGATTATTACTAGGAATAAGGGCCTTACAAGTCAATCCAAGAGGCTAGGAAATACACCTTTTCAAAAAAACTTTTAGACTGTTTAATTACTCTCAGAGAAACAAAAAATTTCAACCACCCACTGACAATATCCCAGTCATCCAACAGCTAGTCAATGCATAGTCAGTCCTCTGCAATTGTCTGGGAATTTTCGCCTTCTTCCTCCAGAAGAAGTGCTCAATTTTCATTGCCAATGTTCTTGGGAGATTCACTTTTCACTGAAAAAAAATAAGTAAACATACAGTCAAGTGTTTATACTGTTTCTGTTTAGCTTGTTCTGTTTTTCCTTCTTCTCTCCTCCCTTCTGACGCATACCAACAGCACTGCTCATGGGGACAGACAAACCATGTCATGTTCCAGGCGGCCAGGATATACAGTTCTGGCCACAATAAAGAAACGATGTCTGAGAGTGGCAATTATAGTTTGTGAGGCAACATCCTTCCTGACTCTGTGGAAGACTTGGGAATGGTCACTTCACAGTGTGGTTATGATCCCATATTCGTACCACTGGAAAGATCACTATTATCACATAGGCTGGCCAAGTGTGGTTGGAATAAATTTTTCCGTAATTTTTTTTTTTTAAACTTAAAATTGAGGGTCAGTGTATGTTGAGTGAATGTGGGCTGAGACAAGACTAGCTAATCGCCATCTCCTTCCTTTCATAGGAAAGATAACTTAGAACAGAAATGGAGCCCCTTTAAAGGAGCTGTCCTGACTGGAGCAAGCAAGACTATGATTCACTTACTAAACTGAGAGTTCCTTAAGGAGAGAGACCAGATCTTTCCTCCTTATATCTAACCTCCCAGTGTAACCTGTTTGCTGAATCAATATGAATGCAAGTCAACCAGAGTAACAGCTCTATTTCATTGCATAGTGAAGCTAAAAGGAAATAATATATTAAAAACTATGAAAATTAAGGTTAAAATACAGATTACTTTGCTTCAGGCTTATAGCCTTTTATTTCCATTGTGTAGATGAGGGAAATAAAGCTCAGAGGCAGAGTAAATGCTCAAGGGCCCACAGCTTAGTTAAGAGCTGATGCTAGAATCATAAACCGAGATCTTGCCTCATATTCAACTGCCAAGTTCCTTGGGGTTTGTCGATGGTACCTAGATTTAAGATTGTCCCAGCAACCAAAATGTTTACTGAATCCTTTTTTATGAGTAAAGGATTGAAACAGGTTCAATCCAAGATACAGTCCTGATCCTTGTGGAATTTTATAAACTCTAGCACAGTCCTTCAAGTATTTCCATGATAATACAAGTCAGTTTTTCTCCTCTGGCTTTCTTTGCAATGTATACACATTTTATTATAGCACCTATTGCACTGTAAAGTTTACATGTGTGTTCTTGTGCCTGAGATCCATCCCCATCTCCCCACCCCACTGTGTCACACACAGTGAAAAAGAGGAAGAGAAGGGGGTAAGGAAGAATGAGGGTAGGAGAGAGGGAGAGAGAATGGATGAAAGGGTATACTGGCCCAACAACAGACTGATGAATAAGCAGCTCCTATGTTATATATTTTCACTAACTGAAGTCATCAGTTTTGGGTTGGATTCCTTTTCAAAAGGCAGAGGCATTTTCTATTGGCGTTATCTTAGAACAACAGAGAAATACATTTTGCTGATATTTTTAAATTAATGGAGCTTTGTACTACTGCAGTTTGGGGGAAACCCTTCTCTTTCTTTGCTTCCTAAACTGTCCTGTTTTCTTCTTTTATTGCACTCCATTTTTTTTTTCCTTAAGACTGAAAAGCAGCAGCTCTTATTAAATCATCTAAATCTACTAGCTACCTTTGGCAAATGGGGACCTGTGAAGCAAGTAACACCACTCTGAGCCCTTCCCACTGGACTGATACAAGATGGGTGATCAGCACTTCACATTTTCAATCTAGTGGGCTACCTTAATGGCTCAGTCTTTTATAGTCAACCTTTTACATTGCTTAAAAAGCAAAAAGCAAACAAACAAAACTTGCCTATTGCCCATCAATACTGGCAGACTTTTAAAAAACTGTGGCAATCTACAACCATAGCAAACATTGTAACAATGATCAAGTGTGAAAACTACTGAATGCCAGCCCAGAAACATTATTTTTCCCAAACGAGAAGAGAGACACCTTGTGCTATGAACTCAAGATCAAAATCCAACATTTTTGCCTCCAGAGAGAGAAGGAATTTCAAGGCTTTCCAAAGAAAATGCCCTGTTCTTATATAACCCTCTTCCTGCATTAAGGGACCACCCTGCAGAATATCCAAAGCTATGAGAATATACCAAAAAACAGATACCTTGAAGTGCTCACACAAAGAAATGCACGTACAAAACACCTGGCATTATTTTTAAAGTGTATTTATGATGTGACAACACTGATATGGTCCATAAGATCCTGTCAGACCCTCTTTAAGTTTTTTGCCACAGCAGCTCTAAAGGATCCTCTATCCTGAAAGCATGAGTCACTTGTCTTCCTGTAAATAAGTCAAATATCACATACCCACCAAAAAATAGCAAATTTTACTTAATCAGGTTCCAAGTACACTACAAAAGTAGCCTTTTCATTTTGCTTCATTACAGGAAGCCTTCCTTCAGTGTGCATTCCTAAACAAGGTGAAAGAGGAGCTGTGTGTGCTCTGTTTATTTACACAGACATGTTTGCCCTGGCTAGTACCCCACATTACTAAACAACTTTCCCTGAAACCAACATTTAGAGAGCTATGTGAATTATATTAAGGAAAAAGTAAGGTTTTACACAGCTAAAAAAAAAAAGTGAAATTGGTCATTTATAACACACTTGTAATTTGAGAAAATAAAATCAGATATTCTCAAATTGTGAAAAATATAAAGTCAATAATTAATCTAAAGATTTAGAGGCCCATAACTGATTACTAGAAACTTCACGTTTGCTATCTGACATTCTAGATTCAAATTGTGATGCTGACAAAATTTTGGCCACTTTGAAAAAAAAATTTCTCTTTTACTAAGAAAAAAACCTATTATACACATGTAAGAGAACACCTTAAAACAAAGGTTACTGCCTATTTCAGCCTATACTGCTGGTGTAACAATAAAACCTTAACCACCTGTTTCGAGTAATTTTATTTAAAAAATAGATTTCAATCCAATCCAAGGATTCACTGGCCATCTGGAGACTGTTAAAATGAAACTTGGCCTGTAACTATTATTCTTAGCTGAAAGAGGTATCTAATGGTTTTGAGTTGAGTCACCTCTCTCCCTTTTAAAAAAAGTAATTTCTGAATTTTATTCATCCTCTAGAATTTGCATTCAGAAACACAAGTAGCTTACTCTAATCAGCAGTTGCAAATATGGATGAGTCATTTTAGATACTAAACTTTTACATATACCATTTCCAGTTTTAATACTTCCAATTCCACTACTCACCAAAGAGGGACAAGTATCTTACTTTTAAAGAATCACTAAAATGACAAGGAATATAGCCAAAGAAACAAACATCAAGGAAAATAAAACCAGTGCATTTAAAAAAAGGAGATAAAGGTCAAGTCAATGTCACTAGCTTATTCTAAACACAGTCCAAATTTTAAACATGACGTTCTTTTAAACATTATCCCTTTCTATAAGGTAAGATACTAAAAATGTTTTATAATCCCTCATTTTAGGAATCTCTAAAGAAAGAGTTTTAACTAGAGAGTAAATTTATCTGATATTGGACAGACTGTTACTTAAAGGCTATTTACTTTAAAAAAGACAAAAACCTGTAGAACTCCAATAAGGCAAAGAATGTCGTTTTATAGCCAAACTTATTCATTTTGAATTGATATTATAAGCTATGTGCTCTCAAACACGACAGAATCAGCAGCTCATTCATTTGGTTCTTTACATTAACTATAGCTAGCTATAGAGCAAATTCAGTTAAGTGTGTAAATACAGTGGGAAAACAAATATATAAAGAAATAAACCCAGTTGTGTAATTGCTCAGGCTCACTAGAGTTATTCTAAGCATTACAGGAACAAATTTATATTTACCTTGGTGAAGAACTTCCATGTCATGACTGGATTCTTTTAATACCACATGTAATGTTGGATACTCAATGATCACTTTGTTCCTCAAATTGTCACGGAGACTTTTGTAAGGATCCAGTTCATAATACCTTACAATAAAAAAAGCAAAACAAAAATTAAAAACAATATTAATATTAATATTCAAAGTTACTAATAAGATAAATCAGAGTCCCTTACATTAAAAAATTTTTAAATGTTAATGACATTAACTCAATAGTTATTTCCTTATAATATAGTAAGTTTAGTGCCTCTAAAAAAACAGTTAAAAGTGCTATTATTATACAGGTTCTAAAGCTAAATAAAGAGCATATCAAATAATTTGACATTAGAAAAGATTGAGAACAAGTCATTTTCAGATCAAGGAATAAAGACTAACTTTTATACAATATCTATGGTTTGATGTGTCGTGAATTCTTCTTGGATCAGGCAATGACTAGTTCAAAATTCAAATTCCTCAAATTTATTTAGTTTGAGCCTTAAAGAAAAACAAAAAACTATCCCATGATAATTTTCAGTAATATATGGTGTTAAAATAACTGGCTACAGATACTTTTGTAAAAAGTTAATTCTAATTATAAATAGTTTCCAGAAATTTACATTGCCATACAATTAAATTTGGCCTTCCTTTATTTTGAAATTAAAACAAAACAAAACAAAAAACAGTGAGTTTCTGGATGAGCCTAAAACACAAAATTTAAGGAATATGGAGTTTATCAGTCATGGTATCAGTCATGACATAGCTGTCAAATGTGTCACAGGTAATTAGATGCTAATGTTCCTTAAGGTATGAAACTCTCATTACTTAAAAAAAACCAAAACAACAAAACACCACTTTTTTTTTTTAGTTGATGAAAGATGCATTCCCCTAACATTCTCCCCCTTGCTTGCTTTCTGGAGTAGCAGAGAAAGGGGTGGAATTTCATCTAGCTCACTAGGAGTTGCATATGGGTATGTGTTGGCATGTGAATATCATGTCACATTAAAGACGAAAAAGTTGAGAACATGTCCACCAGTGTAGTCGTAATTCTCCAACTTTTTTCTTCCATCTCCACCAATGACAGATGATATTCACATGCAACACACATATCCTAAGGGATACCCAGCCTGACAGCTGTAACTCCATCCTTTTCCCTCCCACTCAAGAAAGCATACTGGATACAAGTGATCAAGAGTGAGGTTATCACTGGAATATATTTGAATCTGCTGTAATTTTGTTAAGAGTAAATCACTTACAAACTTTGGTATTTCCTAATTAGTAAGAGATTATTTGCACAGTCACTCACAGCTGAGTGAGACATGCAGTGCACTTCTGAAGAACTCCTGGTGTAGTGACCTCTCTGTAAGTTTGTTCCATGGAATACTTTTCAAATACGGGGAAAAAAAAGTGCTTAACAAAATGAAAAGACAAACCTGCTGTAGAAACTGATTTCTTTTTCAGAAGTAGGTGACAAGTGAGAGAACAACTGTACTTGACATGTTTGCCTGACTACATTCCCTACCCCTGGAATTCCATTCTTCATTTTAGAGTCACAGAAAATTTTTTATGTTGAAAAAAACATGAAATGCAAAATACTCAGTTTTCCTAAACCAGCCACCCCAGTGCCCATAGGCCACGGAATGCATACATTCTTTTCCCTGTGTAATGTAACACAGATGTGCTTACAATACTTTAAAAGTGGTTCCAGCATTCAAGGATTAAATGCTTCACATCTTTTAAACATTATTTCCCTTTGAATTAAGCAGTGTCTTTTTTTTTAAAGTTAGCAGTAATTACACATAAGAGAAAAATGAGATTGAATTAGATATTGAAGTATAAGATTAACTTTTAAAGTAAAATATAAAATGGATATAACCAAATTTTTCTTAGGAGAAAATAAGACTTGAATTCTCAAATGGGAAATTTTCAAGTAGTATCCTACAAATGCTTACAGTAACTTATCTTCTGTGAATTTAAATGAATCACAAGACTTCTATTAAGAAACATTTCACAAATCAGGGAATGTTTTCTACTTATTTCAGTCTTTCGTAATTTTCAGTGTAGACTTAACATTTTAGGTAATTTGTTTCTTTTCATAATATTCAATCTTCATTAGGTTTCTCTATATTTCCAAAGCTGAACTTAAAAAAAAAATTCTTCAAAAGCCACATGGTAACTGGAAGCCTAACACTCTTGCTGATACAGTATAAAATGTTCCCAGCAGAGGAACATCTAGAAATACTTAAAAATTACCATATAAGTTATATATTACTTCAACCTTAAAACTACAATGATTACTTGTTTAGTTAAAAAAAAATTTTTGGTCCCTGTTTTATTATGTGTGTAGCAGGCCCCTTTTTTCTTTCTACTTTAACAAAGCACTTAGGATGCAAAAATTTATAAGAGCTTATAATGAATTATTTTTAAAATACTGTATTCAAATACAATGAAAATCTGGTATGTTGTATGGTTTTCATTAGAACCGCTGAATTTTATTTCGTGTTTACCCTAAAATGTTGCAAACTTCTAATCACAGCAATATTGGTACTGAGTGTCAGTAAGCTTCTAGGCTCCAGCTTTCAAGTCTGTTAAAGAGGTTGGACTTCACTAGATCATCTTTTAGTTGAAATCCTGAATTTCTTTATTTTTCTACTACTAATGGTTACTCTTAGTCTACTGTTAAAATTTGCCCGTAAATTTAAAAAGAAAATTATGTAAACTGTTTATAAAGAAAAGCCATCAAACACATATGGGGTAACATTTTGTGACTTGTAGTTAAATGAAGCAGCAACTTTTAGTGGCTGCTTGGGTTTGGGGCCCAACACTGTGAGTTAAAGTCCATCACTTACTGGTCTGTGATTCTGGACAAGTTACTTTACTTCTCTGATCCCTAGTTTCCACACATGAAACGAGAATGACAGTGTCACTTCAGAGAGTTATTGTGGGGTTAAATGATAGAACAGAGAAACTGCTAGCTCAGTTACTGAAGCCATGAACAAAGTTTTACATTTGCATAATTACCTAAAATAAAACACATTCTGATAGAAACTTTAGTTCAGGACAGTCATTGGACTTCTTCAGAGTAACAAAGAATGGCACTTATTATGTTAGCACAGAAACACATATTTGCCTTTTTATGCATTTTACATTTTAAATACAGAATTACAACTTTCAAACTATTATTTTAGATCGCATTTCCTTCCAGGAGGCTAAAAGTACGTTGAATGTTTCTATTTTTATTATCTTTAGGCAAGTTGTAGAGTCCAGCTTGGCACTGCCTAAAACATTTAGACCTTAGCTCTTTTGCAAGCCATTAAGTTACTGAATCCTAAGGAACAGGTTTATCTGTTTGAAATTTTCTCAGACTCTGGAGTTCCCATTAGTAGAATGGCTCTGCTACCCTAAGACAAACTACTTAGGTTTGGAAGAATTAAGACACCAACATTTGTCTTTTTTTTTTTTTTTTAACCCTTAGAGACCCTCTCAGACATTTCCTCTTGTTATTTCACTTGCTCACCCTCACAGACTTTGCTAGCTGACCCTGCTCCAGGCAGCTTCACAGGGGCATTATAAGGGCAACATGGCTCAGTAGGCTAAACAGGTGTTACAGTGATTGACATTATATAAATAAAAGTTGTCTTGATAGTTAAGGGTATGTTTTTAATCTTGGCTCTGTTACTAACTTTCAAAGAAACTGCCCAAGTTCTCAACTTCTTCCTCTACTTTATTTGCAAATTAGGATTTTAAAAAAATTCCTCCTAACTCAAAAGAAGGCAGACTTTTAAAAAGTCACAAACCACTTTATTTCCCATCACTGACACTCCTTAGATCATTTCCTTTCCCCTCCTAAAAAATATTGAAACTAAATATGAATATTCTCCAAATTTATAGTAGTCCCTAGGCCACAGAACTTTTCCCACTAAAAAATAAAGTCACTGGATGAGGTGATCACTAAGCTGACTCCAACTTTAAAATTCTACAAGTTTTGATATATTTTTTAAGGATCTTATTTAACAGAGAGAGAGAGAGCATGCACAAGCAGGGGGAGTGGCAGGCAAGGGAGAGGGAGAAGCAGGCTCCCAGCTGAGCAGAGAGTCAGACTCATGGCTTGATCCCAGGACCCTGGGACCATGACCTGAGCTGAAGGCAGACACTCAACCAAGCAAGCCCCTACAAGGCTTTTTTTTTTTTTTTTAAAGATTTTATTTATTCATTTGAGAGAGAGAGAGAGAGTGAGGGAGCATAAGAGCAGGGTGAGGGGCAGAGGGAGAACCAGACTCCCCACTGAGCAGGAAACCCGATGTGTGGGGCCTGATCTGGGGACTCTGGGATTAGGACCTGGGAAAGGCAGGCACTTAACTGACTGAGCCACCAAGGCGCCCATCCTTACACGTTTTGAAATTTATGTGATATTTATAGCACTTATGTTCTTAACCATTGCATTTATTTCTCAATCTAGATTTCAGAGTTAAAAGTGCAACTAACTGATTCCAAATGTACAAGGTTGAATCTTTGGCTATTAAAAAAGTTACTATATATGTATGTATACTGTAAGCAAGCTCTATGCCCAGCATGGGCTTGAACTCACGATCCGAGATGAAGAGTCGCATGCTCTACGGACTGAGCCAGCCAGGCGCCCCAAATTAACCTTAATATAAATCAGTTATCTGATAGTTAACTGTTTTTAAGGTATGGCTCATCCTGGCATAACTGAATTATGGTTTTTGAATCAATTGCAAATTAATTGTTTTAGATTCACATTTATCAAATTACTTGAAAATAATACAAACTTTAAAGTACTAAACTTTATGTAATAAAGTAGAAAGTGAATGGATTAGAGAAACAAACTAGTTTTCAAAATCCAAATGAAAAGGACGAAAGAACCCAGATTGTTAAAGAAGACCCAGAGTAGAAGAAAATACATAAACTGAAACATATAAAACCAAACTAAGTACAGGGGTCAGAGAGTTTGAATTCTTCTGTTTAAAAGAAAAAGGTACTATTTAAAATTTCTCCAAATAATACTCCTTTGTCACAATTTCTGCAGTTCATACAGTCCAAGTCATATTAGAAACGGATCTTGCCAAAGTTGAATTTTTTTCTTACCTAATT